TCGTCTCTTTCGCACCTTCTGTGCTGTGTCCAAATTTACATTTACACCAGATATCTGTATACAGTGCATTAAGACAGTATTCAGACCCCTTGACTTTTTCCACATTTTGTTACGTTACAGCCCTATTCTAAAATGGATTACATTGTTTTTTTCCCTCATCAATCTATACACAATACCCCATAATGACAAAGCAAAAACATCTGTAATCCATTTGTAAATAAGTATTCAGAAGTATTCAGACCCTTTACTCAGTACTTTGTTGAAGCACCTTTGGCAGCAATTACAGCCTTGAGTCTTCTTGGGTATGACGCTACAAGTTACACTACTGTATTTTGGGAGTTTCTCCCATTCTTCTCTGCAGATCCTCACAAGCTCTGTCAGGTTGGATGGGGAGCGTCACTGCACAGCTATTTTCAGGTTTCTCCAGAGATATTCGATCGGGTTCAAGTCCGGGCTCTGGCTGGGCCACTCAAGGACATTCAGAGACTTGTCCCGAAGCCACTCCTGCGTTGTCTTGGCTGTGTGCTTAGGATCGTTGTCCTGTTGGAAGGTGAACCTTCGCCCCAGTCTGAGGGCCTGAGCGCTCTGGAACAGGTTTTCATCAAGGATCTCTCTGTACTTTGCTCCATTCATCTTTCCCTCGATCCTGACTAGTCCCCCCTACAGCATGATGCTGCCACCACCATGCTTCACCGTAGGATTGGTGCCAGGTTTCCTCCAGACATGACGCTTGGCATTCAGGCCAAAGAGTCCAATCTTGGTTTCATCAGAGCAGAGAATCTTGTTTCTCATGGACAGAGTCCTTTAGGTGCCTTTTGGCAAATTCCAAGCGGGCTGTCATGTGCCTTTTACTGAGGAGTGGCTTCCGTCTGGCCACTCTACCATAAAGGCCTGATTGGTGGAGTGCTGCAGAGATGGTTGTCCTTCTGGAAGGTTCTCCCATCTCCACAGAGGAACTCTAGAGCTCTGTCAGAGTGACCATCAGGTTCTTGGTCACCTCCCTGACCAAGGCCCTTCTCCCCCGATTGCTCAGTTTGGCCGGTCGGCCAGCTCTAGGATCTTGGTGGTTGCAAACTTCTTCCATTTAAGAATGATGGAGGCCACTGTGTTCTTGGGGACCTTCAATGCTGCAGAATTGTTTTGCTACCCTTCCCCAGATCAGTGTGTTCGACACAATCCTGTCTCGGAGCTCTACGGACAATTCCTTCAACCTCATGGCTTGGTTTTTGCTCTGACATGCACTGTCAACTGTGGGACCTTATATAGACAGGTGTGTGCCTTTCCAAATCATGTCCAATCAATTGAATTTACCGCAGGTGGACTCCAATCAAGTTGTAGAAATATCTCAAGGATGATCAATGGAAACAGTATGCACCTGAGCTCAATTTCAAATCTCATAGGAAAGGTCTGAATACTTATGTAAATACGTTTTTCTGTTTTTTATTTTTAATACATTTGCAAAAATGTCTAAAAACCAGTTTTCGCTTTGTCATTATGGGGTATTGTGTGTAGATTGATGAGGAAAACTATTAATTTAATCAATTTTAGAATAAGGCTGTAACGTAACAAAATGTGGAAAAAGTCAAGGGGTCTGAATACTTTCCGAATGCACTGTCTATACAAACCATATACACACTAGATTGACACTCCCACACAAAACCCACACACATTCACACATACACACATAACACGCAGACTGACACAACACAGACATGCATACACATTAGTAATTACATACACACACACACACTCACACACTTTTACACATCATTTCTGCTACTTCTTTGTTCTTTATTTTAATCATAGTATTATCTATCCGGATACCTAGTCACTTTACCCTGCCTTCATGTACATACACTTCATGGCCAAAAGTCTACACCAGTTGTATTCGGCGCATGTGACAAATAAAGTTGTATTTGACACCCTTTAAACCCTCTATGCTCCTTTGAGACCCCTCTTTCAGATTCACTGATATCTCTCCTTCCAGCCATGGTAGTCAAAATGTTTATACATGACCTTAAGCATGAAGGGATGTTAATTGCTTAGAGCAGGGATCATCAACTAGATTCAGCCGCAGGCCGATTCTTTGTTAAGCGGATGGTCGTGGGGCCGGAACATAATTATAAATAATTTGTAGACTGCAAATTGACCGCAAGAAGCCCAAACAGATATAATGTTTGACTAAAACATAATCATTTCAAACTTTGCTTAAATTTGTATATGGTCACACGTCTCTCTATTATGCGTGGAAATACAAAGGGAACAGATGTCACGTTCGTTTAAGGACAGGTTAGACCAAGGCGCAGCGTGAAATGCATACATGTTTATTTCAACGATAAACACACGAACAAAACAACAAACCAACGTAACGTGAAGTCCTCAGGCTAAACACAAAACAAGCCTACACACGGAACAAGATCCCACAACCACTGATTGCCAACAGGCTACTTAAGTATGATCCCCAATCAGAGACTGTCACGCCCTGACTCTGGGGACTCTTATTTGTTGAGTCAGGGTGTGTATTTTCTATGTGGTGATTGTCTATGTTGAATATTCTAGTATGTGTATTTCTATGTTGGCCGGTGTGGTTCCCAATCAGAGGCAGCTGTCGCTCGTTGTCTCTGATTGGGGCCAATACTTAGGCAGCCTATTGGCACTAGTGGGTTGTGGGATCTTGTTCCGTGTGAGGTATGTTGTTTGTCTACCTTGGACTTCACGTTTCGTTTCATTTGTTGTTTTGTCGTGGTGTTTATTCAGTATAAATAAACATGTATGCATATCACGCTGCGCCTTGGTCCGTCCCGTTCATGAATGAACGTGACAGAAGATCCCACCAAACGAGGACCAAGCAGCGTGTCCAGGAGCAGACAGCCTAGACATGGGAGGAGATCCTGGAAGGAAAGGGTTCCTGGACATGGGAGGAGATTCAGGCCGGGATGGATCGCCGTCCTTGGGAGGAGACAGTGGAGGCGCCGGCCGAGGAAGAAGCCAGAGAGACAGCCCCAATAAAAAAATGTGGGGGGGCTAAAAGGGTGGTTGGCAGAGCCTAGTGTTAGAGCAGAGCCAACTCCCCGTACTCACGCGAGGAGGCGTGTGACTGGGCAGGCTCCGTGTTATGCGGAGCTACATACTGTGTCGCCAGTGTGCCGGCACAGCCCTGTACGTCCTGTGCTAGCACCACGCACGCCAGGACGGGGTGTGCCGGCTCAACGCTCCTGGTCTCCAGTACACCTCCTAGGTCCCGCATATCCTGCGCCGGTTCTACCTACTGTATCGCCAGTACGCGTGCACAGCCCAGTGCGTCCTGTGCCAGCGCCCCGCACGTGTAGTGCGAAAGTGGGTAGCCAGCCAGGACGGGTTGTGCCAGCTCTCCGCTCCAGACCTCCAGTCCGCCTTCGCAGGTCGGTCCGGCCCGTTCCTGCTCCTCGCACCAAGCCAGTGGTGCGCGTCACCAGCCCGACCCGGCCCGTTCCTGCTCCTCGCACCAAGCCAGTGGTGCGCGTCGCCAGCCCGGCCCGGCCTGTTCCTGCCCCTCGCACCAAGCCAGTGGTGCGCGTTGCCATTCCGGCCCGGCCTGTTCCTGCCCCTCGCACCAAGCCAGTGGTGCGCGTCGCCAGCCCGGCCCGACCTGTTCCTGACCCTCGCACCAAGCCAGTGGTGCGCGTCGCCAGCCCGGCCCGGCCTGTTCCTGACCCTCGCACCAAGCCAGTGGTGCGCGTCGCCAGCCCGGCCCGGCCTGTTCCTGCCCCTCGCACCAAGCCAGTGGTGCGTGTCGCCAGCCCGGCCCTGCCTGTTCCTGCCCCTCGCACCAAGCCAGTGGTGCGCGTCGCCAGCCCGGCCTGGCTTGTTTCTGCTCCTCGCACCAAGCCAGTGGTGCATGTTCCTAGTCCGGTTCGGCCCGTGCCTGCTCCTCGCACCAGACAAGTGGTGAGTGTGTCCAGTCCGGCACGACCCGTGCCCGTTCCACCGGTGCCTGGTCCGGCACCAGTCAGCAGCTCCAGTCCGGAGTCAGAGCAGTCCGCTCCACCAGTGCCTGATCCAGCTCCGGTAAGCTGCTCCACTCCGGAGCCAGAGTAGTCCACTCCACCGGGGTCTAGTCCAGCTCCGGTCAGCGGCTCCACTCCGGAGCCAGAGCAGTCCGCTCCACCGGTGCCTGATCCAGCTCCGGTCAGCGGCTCCACTCCGGAGACAGAGCAGTCCGCTCCACCGGGGTCCAGTCCAGATCCGGTCAGCGGGCTCCAGTCCGGAGCCTGAGTAGTCCGCTCCACCGGTGCCCGGTCCAGCTCCGTTCAGCGGCTCCACTCCGGAGCCAGAGCAGTCCGCTCCACTGGTGCCTGATCCAGCTCCGGTCAGCTGCTCCACTCCGGAGCCAGAGCAGTCCACTCCACCGGGGTCCAGTCCAGCTCCGGTCAGCGGCTCCACTCCGGAGCCAGAGCAGTCCGCTCCACCGGTGCCTGATCCAGCTCCGGTCAGCGGCTCCACTCCGGAGCCAGAGCAGTCCGCTCAACCGGTGCCCGGTCCAGCTCCGGTCAGCGGCTCCACTCCGGAGCCAGAGCAGTCCGCTCCACCGGGGTCCAGTCCAGATCCGCTCAGCGGCTCCAGTCCGGAGCCTGAGCAGTCCGCTCCACCGGTGCCCGGTCCAGCTCCGGTCAGCGGCTCCAGTCCAGACCCAGACGTCAGCCCCTCTCCAGGTTCGGGGTCTCCCACACCAGGGTCCAGACAGGGCTTGGAGTATAGTGGGAGGAAGGAGAGGGGAAGCAGCGCGCCGAGGTCCAGACCAGACCAGGGGCGCAACAGGGAGGCGGAGAATAGGTGGTGGTCACACCCGGAGCCGGATCCGCCTCCGAGGCGGAATGCCCACCCATCATCTGTGTGTGTGTGTGTGCGTCTGCTGATGTGTTGTTTCAATGTTTTTTTGTGTTTTTCTCTCAGGCCTGAGTTTGTCTCTGCATACGTGGACTAAACCTTCAATAGATCAGTGGCCAAGTTTTTCCAAATAGTTTTTCACGGGCTTCCACAAAGTGTGTGGTGACAAAGTCCTGGAGCTGTTCCAGCCCAACGAACTGCAGGCCATGGTCATCAGCAACACCAACTATGACTAGAAAGAGCTTGAAAAGGTACAGAGGTCCCCATTAGCTTGAACGCTATCAATTGGTCTTGGAGTTGTACAGTAATATATATATACAGTATATAGGAGAGTACTGTGCTGAAAATCCAACCATCAAGTTCTTCTGGGAGGTGTTCCATGATCTCTTTTTGGAGAATAATAAGCAGTTTCTGTTTAAGTGTAAGTGTCTCTCCCTTTCAAAGCATTCAGACTGTGTCATGTCACCATGCCATGCTAGCAGTGGCTATTGACGGATTAAATGTGTATGCTTTTGGTTTTGAACACCTTGGCACTGAGGAAATGTGCATTGTCTTTTCAGGGTTTCTCACAGGAAGAGACCGCATTCCCATCCTGGGCATGAAAAGCCTGAAGCTGGTGATCCAGCCCACGGAAGGCGGCGAACACTACCTGCTTGTCGCACACACCTGCTTCAACTTATTGGACCTGCCCAAGTACAGCAGTTGGGAGACGCTCCAAAACAAGCTTCTACAGGCCATAGATCACAATCAAGGTTTCAACCTAGCCTAAAGGATGGCACACAGACAATGCCTAGCGCCATCCACAGACTGTTTATGGTAATCACATGTATACATCTCTGCCCCGCCAACGCTGATCCGATTCCTGCTTTGAGACTGCAGCACTGTCACTTGCGTGAAATTGAACAAACAGTATTTGCAGGGGGACAAATGTTTCTGCAAGAGGCTTGAGGGCTGTTGTCGGACTCAGGACTCACAAAAATCCAAACAGCATTTCAATTTCAAGGTCAAGAAGCTAAAGTTCTGGTATAAAATTTGACCTCAGCTGGCGCACGATAGCAGTGTTCATGATTTAAGTTAATATTTTATTATGGCAATTTCTACCATGAATAGAAATGAATCTTCTACCATGGTAAAAACATGGTATGAATGTGAGAGTTTGATGTCGAGTGTAGGTTCTTCACTGGAAGCCTTAAAACTAGACAAATAAAAACATTACAGCCATGGATATTGTGTGTATGATGACCAAGTGTATATACATTTAGGTTTCAACCGTTCAAATGCTGCTCTGAAACTGTATTTTTGTGTAAATGATAGGCTAGTGCCAACATGAGTGTCGTTTATCAATAATATAACAATTCCTCTCTAATGTATCTAGCGATAACACTGTTGTACTTTATAATTACTTTGGTTAACTTTCCTAACATTACACTAAACTTTAGATAATGCACGTTTTACATAATTTAATGGATTTCTATTCCATATTTGTATGTGGCATAGGGGTGATTAAATGTAGAATGCATATCAACATTGCCCTTTCAACCTCCAAGTGCCCATGTATCCCAGATGTTTTAACATAGTCATTTTCTAACTAGGCAAAATAAGCATTCCAAAAAATATGAACATTAAAATTGCCTGTTGATGAGACAATTCAGGTTGACAATATTTTAATGATAGAAACTGTACATATTCATCAGCTGAAATGCACAAATTCTTCAGGGTAGATGGTGAGTGAATGAGGCAAGTTATCCTGGTCTAGTGGCAAGGAACTTTGTGTCAATGAGCTTGGTGGCTGTTTCAGTGGGGCAGCTCATGACGGACAAACTGGTAGTGGGACCCACATTCGGGACAGCGCTGGGGCTTCCCCTCATGGAGCCAGAACCACACAATGGCAGTGTTGTCCTCTTCACCTGTGGTACATAATGACACAAGTGTTGGCAAAAAAAAATGCCATTTGAAAAAATGTAATGTACATGTAAAGCATGACAGTATGGTACGTACACAGGCAGCCTACCAGCCGCTTGTCACTAATGCCTGGGACAATGTGAGGGTCTTTTTTGGTTCCAGCATACTCATTGGGTTTCAGAATGCTCCAAGGATCCTGATTTTTATTTATTTAGAAAAAGGACTTCAAATCAATTTTATTTGAATTGAATCAAATAGCACAATAGGTTGAAACAAATGTATGATATTATTTAGATATGACCTTTCCCTTCTTCAATACCTGCAAGGCACGTCGCTCAAGTCCAGTGGCCTGTTCCTCATCAGTTGGAATCCCTGAAAGGAGACTAATGTCACTAGTGTGACACCTGTGACTTTACAAACTGTGTGACATTCAAATGATGGGCATTTTGTTGTTTATCTGAACAATAATTGAATGTTACTTCTAACAACGCATGTAATAGAATGTAATAGTTATGAGTCAAACTGCATGTCCACTCATGTAGTAGGTTTCGTGTGTTTAATACTGTAGCATAATTTTACAACTAGTAATAACTGTCAAATGGACAGTTTTCCTTTTATGAGTGTGTGCGTCATGCACGTTTGGTTATTCCGTGATTTTACTTTGTATTTTTACAAATGCGGTGCCTAGGCGAAGTCTTGCTTTGTAGAGCACATTCATAAAATAATTCATTCTATAATGTCAACTACTTCAATAAAACAGACTACTTATTAGATTTGACGGACATGTCGATATATTTTACGTGCGTAAAATAACCGATTCGAAGTATTTTACGCACACAAATGAACTTTACGCACACACGTACCTTTTAATGTTCCCATTGCGCGTGACAGTGATCTTGCCACAACATTGTTTATTGTCAATTGCAAGGTTGTACATGTACGTAGTAAAAGTCTGCCTGCCATAATGAATTCACTTTCGCTTACTGCGTGTGACCTGAAACAATCTTCTGGACTGACATTAGTCCCGTGTAGCTCAGTTGGTTTGCAACGCCAGGGTTGTAGGTTCGGTTCCCACGGGGGGCCAGTATGAAATAATGTATGCACTCACTAACTGTAAGTCGCTCTGGATAAGAGCGTCTGCTTAAATGTAAGTGAATCCATTTATTTCCAGCCGTGACTTGATTGAAGGACTCAACGGTCCACTTACAAAGTAACGGTATTATGAATTGGCCAACTAGAAAAGGATGAGGACGGCAAGCGAACAGGTGCACACTTTATAGATGGAATTTTCTTTATCGTTTTATAGTAGACCAGTGGCGATTTTAGTATGTAAATCTAGGTGGGGCAAACCAAAACATTTGGGGCTACATGCCAGCAAAGCCACTACATAACATAACACAACACTAAACAATACATTAATTGCACTATAACGGCGACAAACGGTGCCCACAAACTGTTAGGGCCTACATAAAGCTGTCCCAACAGCAGAGTCCCAACTGCAGTCCCAACACCTTACCACTGCTCAGGGACGGCCTGTTCAATAGGGCGATATGGGCGACGCACTGCCAAACGGGAAAAGGAAGGGATTTTTTTTCTAATCAATTATATCACGGCAACAGTAGTTATCAGTGTTCACGTCTGATCTGCCAGCCACTAAATGTCAAATCAGGCTAAAGTCGTTCTTCAAATGGCCCCGCCCGTTTTTGGGGCGATTTCAGTCAAGTTGAAAATCGCCCAGAAGTCTCTCATAGCCTGTCATGTAAAATCTATTTTTTTCAAATTTCAAAGCTTTCAATACATTCTCTATGGGTGTCTGTGGGCTTGCACTTACGCGCTTTCGTCATACGTGACGTAACCATGAACGTAACTAAGACAATAGCGGCTAGCAGCGTCTCTGTTGCGACCTGCAGTGTGGCGTTATTTTATGTTTTTAATTTGTAGACTTAGTTTACAAACATTCTGCCAACCATGGATTTCCAGTGGTTGGTTTTGGACTGATCTTGTTGATCGTGTACATACCCGCTACGAACGGACTAAATAATGAAAACGCTGCTGGCAGCGGAATCCCAATACAGCTGGGAGACTTGGCTGGATGACAGAGTCCCGGACAGAGAAGTGGAGCCGGCCGGCTTCACCCTGGTCAGAGCGGACCGCGATCCTGGTAAGAGAGCGACTCTGTACCCCGACATTGAACTGCTTTCTGTGTCATTGCGACCTTACTATCTGCCCCGTGAGTTCCCCCAATTGTTTGTTACCGTTGTGTACTGTTGATAATCACAAGTTTACTGGAGAACTGAGACCAAGTAGAGACTTTGGACAGGGTGGATATGGTATAATAAAGGCAGTTTATTCAGAGGTAAAGATATCTGGAATCGCGTGCACGGACTCGTTCGTCAAACTCTTAGGGAGAAGAGAGCCCCGAAAACATTGTGTGCAGACATTTTATACAATAAATGATGTAGGTTGAATCTAGTAGTTCTGATCTTCTGATTGGTCCTGATGAGTTGGGCGAGGTCCCCTCCACTGTTGCATTGGCTCTGAGTCGGGTTCTCTGTCTTCAAATGTTCAGCCTAAAGAGAGGGGATTTTTGTGTGTGTGTGTGTGTGTGTTTAACAGTGATGATGTGTGTGTGTGTGTGTGTTATCAGTGATGATGTGTGTGTGTGTGTGTGTGTGTCCTCAGAGCAAGAACTCGTGAGTTGGAAGAACTGAGAGACCTATGGCGTGGGTGTTGTCCTTGGCCACCTGCTGACAAGGCTGACAAGATAGGACTCTTTTGTCCATTGTTATAGGATAGGAACAGCATTGATTGAAAACAAACGCCCAACACAAAATGGGTCATGCACAAGATTTTAGTCAGACCAAGCTATAACATTATATATTTACTACGACAGTACATTCAACCAAAAGCTAATATAACAAAGGCATCAGAGATTATTTATAATCTGTCACAGAAACTGGAATCCATCTCCCCAGATCAGTCAATAAATGCTTCTGGTATTGACTTATATGCTGCCCCTGTCTTCATGTTGTTGCTGGACATATCTTTTTTAAAATGTGTGTAGGTCACCTAAATCATCAGAAAAATTGCCCCTCCTGAGAATTTTTTCAGGAGCCGCCACTGCCACTGCTACACCTGGCTATCAACAGAGCCTTGTCTGGCAGCGAAACAGTTAATTCAGCCTAATTTACTGCCTTTAAAAAAAACATAGCTGATATGGCTGACTTGCTTAAACAAATGTGGTTTCTACTGACAATTGAGATGTACAAACTATGGCATAAGGGGAGGACAAGCGTATAAGAGGCAATCGGTAATTTCGATTAAGACATTAATGAGCTAGGACGGAAGTAGTCAGCACTTTTGAAATGTACAGCGACAGAATTCAGAACATGGGCCGTTCTTACAGAGTTCTCCCTGTACACCAAGTCAAAACCGTAGGATAAATAAAGGGGGCATATAAGCAGACAATGAAAGATCTTAAAATATTCAATTATTACATTTCTCTAAAACAGGTTATAGTCTACATTTGCACCACCAAGTCAGAACAGTAGGCAGAATTAAGAGGGGAAAATATACCAAATTATTAGGGTGAGGCACATGGGCTACTAACAGCTTCCTACACAACATACACTTAGTATTACTTTCTTAGCTACATTATACTACTAACAGCTTACTACACAACGTACACTTAGTATTACTTTCTTAGCTACAGTATACATATCTCCCTGGCATATTACATCATTTATGCAGCAGCATTCAATACATTTTTGGACTCACCTTGTTGTGCTGTGCTCACTTGAACAGGAAGGTGGCGCGGCGGTCCTTCGTGAGCAAATTTTGTCATCAAACTTTGTCATGAAAGTCTGGCATTCTCTGGATTTATGGTACTTTCAAGACAACTGGGAACTCAAGGTCGAATCATGATGACGTCAGTGATCTTCAGGTCGTAGCTCTAGAAAGAGGCCCGAGTTCCCAATTTACAATTCCGAGTTGGATGACCGTTCAAAGCGTATTTTCCCAGTCGTAGCTAGTTTTTTCCTGAGTTCCCAGTTGTCTTGAACTCACTGAAGTCAGATTTCCCAGTTCTGAGTTAACAGTTGTTTTGAGCATGGCAGAAATCATGCTGGATTGACAAAATGGCCAATGTTGAATGTTTTGCATTTGTTACTTGGAAAAGAGAACCTTAAACTGAGAATTGGGAACACACACCCACTCCACTGAATAGCAGGCTAGTGATTGCTTTGCAATGCTTGCAGTTAGCCACTAATTCCTTCCAAACCACTCATTGTTGAATATGCGATTTCCAACTTGTTGTGTAATGTTTATGTCCAATGGCCGATGAGCACCGATACATTTTATCTATAATTTCTCTTCATTATTTCTCTTCATATGACAAGGATTGAAAATAATTTGCCAGTAGATTGTACTTGATTCATGATGATGACTGCTAGCTAAGATTTAGAAAGTATGATGTAGACATGATCAGTCCAATCAAAGCTACTGAAGATATAACGTGATTTTATGTCATTTTATCTGTGGTCAATGACCTTCAGCCTTCTTGGATGGGCACTTCTAATGTAACTCTATGGCAGCACCCAAGGGGCTTTAATTTTTGAGCACTACCCTTAGATTTGGCAGTGACGTAATGTCCCCATGAGTGACAGAACACTGAGCCAATCACGGCGCAACTAGAGAACATTACCAGCCCCTACAGTGAGGGAAAAAAGTATTTGATCCCCTGCTGATTTTGTACGTTTGCCCACTGACAAAGAAATGATCAGTCTATCATTTTAATGGTAGGTTTATTTGAACAGTGAGAGACAGAATAACAACAAAAAAATCCAGAAAAACGCATGTAAAAAATGTTATAAATTGATTTGAATTTTAATGAAGGAAATAAGTATTTGACCCCCTCTCAATCAGAAAGATTTCTGGCTCCCAGGTGTCTTTTATACAGGTAACGAGCTGAGATTAGGAGCACACTCTTAAAGGGAGTGCTCCTAATCTCAGCTTGTTACCTGTATAAAAGACACCTGTCCACAGAAGCAATCAATCAATCAGATTCCAAACTCTCCACCATGGCCAAGACCAAAGAGCTCTCCAAGGATGTCAGGGACAAGATTGTAGACCTACATAAGGCTGGAATGGGCTACAAGACCATCGCCAAGCAGCTTGGTGAGAAGGTGACAACAGTTGGTGCGATTATTCGCAAATGGAAGAAACACAAAAGAACTGTCAATCTCCCTCGGCCTGGGGCTCCATGCAAGATCTCACCTCGTGGAGTTGCAATGATCATGAGAACGGTGAGGAATCAGCCCAGAACTACACGGGAGGATCTTGTCAATGATCTCAAGGCAGCTGGGACCATAGTCACCAAAAAAACAATTGGTAACACACTACGCCGTGAAGGACTGAAATCCTGCAGCACCCGCAAGGTCCCCCTGCTCAAGAAAGCACATATACAAGGCCGTCTGAAGTTTGCCAATGAACATCTGAATGATTCAGAGGAGAACTGGGTGAAAGTGTTGTGGTCAGATGAGACCAAAATCGAGCTCTTTGGCATCAACTCAACTCGCCGTGTTTGGAGGAGGAGGAATGCTGCCTATGACCCCAAGAACACCATCCCCACTGTCAAACATGGAGGTGGAAACATTATGCTTTGGGGGTGTTTTTCTGCTAAGGGGACAGGACAACTTCACTGCATCAAAGGGACGATGGACGGGGCCATGTACCGTCAAATCTTGAGTGAGAACCTCCTTCCCTCAGCCAAGGCATTGAAAATGGGTCGTGGATGGGTATTCCAGCATGACAATGACCCAAAACACACGGCCAAGGCAACAAAGGAGTGGCTCAAGAAGAAGCACATTAAGGTCCTGGAGTGGACTAGCCAGTCTCCAGACCTTAATCCCATAGAAAATCTGTGGAGGGAGCTGAAGGTTCGAGTTGCCAAACGTTAGCCTCGAAACCTTAATGACTTGGAGAAGATCTGCAAAGAGGAGTGGGACAAAATCCCTCCTGAGATGTGTGCAAACCTGGTGGCCAACTACAAGAAACGTCTGACCTCTGTGATTGCCAACAAGGGTTTTGCCACCAAGTACTAAGTCATGTTTTGCAGAGGGGTCAAATATTTATTTCCCTCATTAAAATGCAAATCAATTTATAACATTTTTGACATGCGTTTTTTTGGATTTCTTTGTTGTTATTCTGTCTCTCACTGTTCAAATAAACCTACCATTAAAATTATAGACTGATCATGTCTTTGTCAGTGGGCAAACGTACAAAATCAGCAGGGGATCAAATACTTTTTTCCCTCACTGTATGCTCCGTATTTTCCGCTGGCTGCCCCACCACCACAGAAAGCACTGAGCTAGGCTGAAACACCTGCATTTTGGAGCTGCCTTACTCAAGAAAGCAAAAAAGAGTCCATCTTTGTATGGAGGCTTTATTAACTCAATGATTATTATTTTATATTTTTTTACAGTGTTTGCAAACTGATATGTGACACGTATTAATGCCAAAATAACATGCAAAACAGGCAACCCAATTATTTGTAGTTTTCTTTTTCTTTTTTTTTTCTTTTTTTTGGCTCTGCCCCACCTGCCCTGAATGATGGGTCGCCACTGTAGTATACAATGTTCAACAACAGTGTGGGTACAGAAAAAGGCACCCTTCGCACGTCAAGGTCTCCATATGACCGTTATTCTGAACCTATGCTCAAAACAATTGAGTGACCCCCAGTCTGAATGTGTTAAATTACTAATTAACTTCACAGTAGTTTAAATGTTACATGGCCCTGTAATGAGTCTACACCAGGTAGTGACAGTTGTATGGTTGCAGGATGCAAATGGTTTTAGTTGTTTGTTTTTAATTCACATTTTCAATGCAATACTTTATCAATTGTTTTGCTGTCCCAATCTTTGCGAACTAATAATATGATAATACATGTAGCCAAATGAAAATCAGCATATTGTAAAAAAAATTATAATAATAAGTAAACGTACAGAGACAACAATAGAAAGATACTTCACATAATCACATTTACTGGGTCATTTTGATAGATATGATTAAGACAATTGGAGTAGCAATTACATACAATTAAGGTGCATATGGGTGCTGACAAGTAACATTATTCACAAGGAAACTGACAACACATACTTATCCCTTCCATTTTCAATTTCTGAATTTTCGTAGAAGACTGGATGGGGAGTCAGAAGCCCAGCAATAATGGGGATGGCAGTAATCACCTGGACTATGGGGACATTAAAAATATTAGTAAAAAAATTTAAAAGGGAGACTAATTTAAGACATTTTTATCAATCAAGATGTCACACCCTGGCTCTGGGGACTCTATATGTTGAGCCAGGGTGTGTATATTCTATGTAGTGTATTTCTGTGTTGGCCAGAGTGGTTCCCAATCAGAGGCAACGAGTGTCAGCTGTTGCTGGTTGTCTCTGATTGGGAGCCATATTTATAGAGGCTGTTTTCCCACAATAGTTGTGGGATCTTGTTTCCAGTTGGTTTGTTCCTAGTTAGGTTTGTCCTTTGGATGTCACGTATCGTTTGTTGTTTTGTTTCGCTGTTCGTGTTATTTCGATTAATAAAGTATGTTTGCTTTCAACGCTGCGCCTTGGTCTACTCCGTCTAACGATCGTGACAGAAGATCCCACCATACCAGGACCAAGCAGCGTGTCCAGGAGCAGGCGGCCTGGACATGGGAGGAAGCGCCGGGAAAGGAGCTGGAAAGGTTGGCGATGGCCCAGGTGGGCAAATCGTGGTCCTGGGAGGACATGCTCGGGGGCAAGGGGCCATGGGCTAAGATTAAGGCCCTGGCGAGAGAGGAGCAACGGCGTCAACAGTGTCGTCGTCGGACGGACGAGAGGCAACCCCAGAAATTTTTTAGGGGGGGGCACACGGCATGGGCGACTGGGCAGCAGGAGGCTGCCACAGGGCGAAATGGGAGACGAGGAGAGAAGGCCACCGGGTTACGGGAGCCATTGGTGAGAGGAGGGAAGGAAGTTGTAGAGGCACGGCGAGAGGTACTGAGGTGTATTGCTAGTCCGGTCCGGCCCGTTCCTGATCCCCGCACCAAGCCTACGGTGTGCGTCGCCAGCCCGGCCCGGCCTGTTCCTGCTCCTCGCACCAAGCCTACGGTGTGCGTCGCCAGCCCGGCCCGGCCTGTTCCTGCCACTCGCACCAAGCCTACGGTGTGCGTCGCCAGCCCGGCCCGGCCTGTTCCTGCCACTCGCACCAAGCCTACGTTGTGCGTCGCCAGCCCGGCCCGGCCTGTTCCTGCCACTCGCACCAAGCCTACGGTGTGCGTCGCCAGCCCGGCCCGGCCTGTTCCTGCTCCTCGCACCAAGCCTACGGTGTGCGTCGCCAGCCCGGCCCGGCCTGTTCCTGCCACTCGCACCAAGCCTACGGTGTGCGTCGCCAGCCCGGCCCGGCCTGTTCCTGCCACTCGCACCAAGCCTACGTTGTGCGTCGCCAGCCCGGCCCGGCCTGTTCCTGCCACTCGCACCAAGCCTACGGTGTGCGTCGCCAGCCCGGCCCGGCCTGTTCCTGCCACTCGCACCAAGCCTACGGTGTGCGTCGCCAGCCCGGCCCGGCCTGTTCCTGCCACTCGCACCAAGCCTACGGTGTGCGTCGCCAGCCCGGCCCGGCTTGTTCCTGCCACTCGCACCAAGTCTACGGTGTGCGTCGCCAGCCCGGCCCGGCCTGTTCCTGCCACTCGCACCAAGCCTACGGTGTGCGTCGCCAGCCCGGCCCGGCCTGTTCCTGCCACTCGCACCAAGCCTACGGTGTGCGTCGCCAGCCCGGCCCGGCCTGTTCCTGCCCCTCGCACCAAGCCTACGGTGCGCGTCGCCAGTCCGGCCCGGCCTGTTCCTGTTCCTCGCACCAAGCCTACGGTGTGCGTCGCCTGCCCGGCCCGGCCTGTTCCTGCCACTCGCACCAAGCCTACGGTGCGCGTCGCCAGCCCGGCCCGGCCTGTTCCTGCTCCCCGCACCAAGCCTACGGTGCGCGTCGCCAGCCCGGCCCGGCCTGTTCCTGCTCCCCGCACCAAGCCTACGGTGCGCGTCGCCAGCCCGGCCCGGCCTGTTCCTGCCCCTCACACCAAGCCTACGGTGCGAGTCGTCAGCCCGGCCCGGCCGGTTCCTGCTCCTCGCACCAAGCCTACGGTGTGCGTCGCCAGCCCGGCCCGGCCTGTTCCTGCCACTCGCACCAAGCCTACGGTGTGCGTCGCCAGCCCGGCCCGGCCTGTTCCTGCCACTCGCACCAAGCCTACGGTGCGCGTCGCCAGCCCGGCCCGGCCTGTTCCTGCTCCCCGCACCAAGCCTACGGTGCGCGTCGCCAGCCCGGCCCGGCCTGTTCCTGCCACTCGCACCAAGCCTACGGTGTGCGTCGCCAGCCCGGTCCGGCCCGTTCCTGCTCCACGCACCAAGCCAGGGGTGCGTATCGTCAGCCCGGTCCGGCCCGTTCCTGTTCCACGCACCAAGCCAGGGGTGCGCATCGTCAGCCCGGTCCGGCCCGTTCCTGCTCCACGCACCAAGCCAGGGGTGCGCATCGTCAGCCCGGTACGGCCCGTTCCGGCTCCACGCACCAAGCCAGGGGTGCGCATCGTCAGCCCGGTCCGGCCCGTAGCTGCTCCACGCACCAAGCCAGGGGTGCGCATCGTCAGCCCGGTCCGGCCCGTCCCTGCTCCACGCACCAGGCCAGGGGTGTGCGTCGTCAGTCCGGCACAACCCGTGCCTGGGTCACCGGTGCCTGGTCAGCTGCTCCACACCGGAGCCTAAGCAATCCGCTTCTACGATGTCCAGTCCAGCTCCAGCCAGCGGGGCAAGACCGGACCAGGGGCGCCACGGGGGGATGGTTGAAGGATGGTGGTCTAGCCCGGAGCCGGAACCGCCTCCGAGGAGGAATGCCCACCCAGTCCTCCCCTGGTTTGTTGATGTTTAGGCGCGGTCGCAGTCCGCGCCTTTAGGGGGGGGGTACTGTCACACCCTGGCTCTGGGGACTCTATATGTTGAGCCAGGGTGTGTATATTCTATGTAGTGTATTTCTGTGTTGGCCAGAGTGGTTCCCAATCAGAGGCAACGAGTGTCAGCTGTTGCTGGTTGTCTCTGATTGGGAGCCATATTTATAGAGGCTGTTTTCCCACAATAGTTGTGGGATCTTGTTTCCAGTTGGTTTGTTCCTAGTTAGGTTTGTCCTTTGGATGTCACGTATCGTTTGTTGTTTTGTTTCGCTGTTCGTGTTATTTCGATTAATAAAGTATGTTTGCTTTCAACGCTGCGCCTTGGTCTACTCCGTCTAACGATCGTGACACAAGATTAGACCTCAAGAGCTTCAATATGAAGGATTATATTTCCATAAGGTTAGTGGTATATTTCAAGAACCAATATGACATGTTGGATTTTAGTTATGTCTAACTATATGTTGGCAAAAGTACCTTTAAACATAAAAATGGTTGAAACATAAAACTAGGCTATGTGCATACTTGAAGATAGCGCTGCATCTGGTGAAGGCCTCTCTGGTGACTTGTGGTCAGTACAGTCTCTGTCTTGAAAACTGTCAGGGAATGTTGCTTTGGAGCCCACCAGCATGGGCTCCTTTTTGGCCCTCACAGCCCAATGCATTGACTGAAGACAGAGAGAGACTTACCCAAACATGAAAAAAAACATATAAGGCGAACAATGTGGTCCTCTGTAGCTCAATTGGTAGAGCATGGCGCTCGTAACGCCAGGGTAGTGGGTTCGATCCCCGGGACCACCCATACGTAAAAATGTATGCACACATGACTGTAAGTCGCTTTGGATAAAAGCGTCTGCTAAATGGCATATTATTATGTGTGTTTAACATAATAGAATGTATGCATTCAACACAGGATTCTATTTTTTTTCTACACAACCTGCTATACACTTTCAAATAGATTTTTTAAAATCATGAATTGGCTTGCCATCTCAGTCAAATAATACTTGACCTTAGGTCACATGCTTAAATTTAGGCAGTGTAAAGTTCGACAACTTAGTTATGCTGAGATTCTGGCTCAATATGATGAAATGTATTAACAAGCGGACTAGTACCCCATTATCTATTATATGAAAGTATCACATTCCTCTTTTCAGTTTGAGCACCCCTTTAAATCCTAATTATGCAGTTAACTGTATGTATACATACAGTTTTCACAGAGTTGCCAAGGGCTAGCCAGCCATGGAATGGTTTGGTATTTTTACTTATTTTCAATACATCATAGTTTATTCTGCTGTTTTCATTGCACAAAACATCCTTGGACCTTCCTGCAACTTCTGCAACTTTTCCACTTCAAAAACATGTGGACATCATGATGAGCATGGATAGGATTATTGCATTGACATTTGTGTGACAAATACTGTACATTGACACCTGACACAGTACACAAGATGGCCACCATCACACAGAAATGTAGCCCTTGATCATGACTCTCAGTTCCATTACATTACACATAAAACATTGGACGAAGGCATCTTCTGTATGGGGGAGTTTTGTTAAGAGCCCCAACACTCGGTCTGAACATTAACACGCATCGCCTGCGGTACAGTTTTGGAAGCACAAGGACCTTAACTTTCATTTCAGCGAGAAAAAAATAATATAAAAAGATTACATTGATACACACCTTTTATATGGTTAGGGTTAGTGTTCCTACCAGGCCATATCTCCATGTGACGGCATGTGTTTACAGAAGACAGATGGAGGACCGCTAATTAGCACAGGTGGTCCCTCTATCTAGCATGCTCCGAACACCTGTGTGTAACAGAAGAAGGCCACCAGAAACGTGTTGTCACTGAAAAATACTGTTGGCTGCAACTGTGATAAAGTCGGTTAAAACAGTGTACAGTAAGTGTATATTTTGCATTTGTTAAATTATTATGATGCGATATGAAATTAAAGGGCGTTATGTTTCTAGAACCGTATCGATTCAAGTTTAGATGGAGTAGGAGTATTTGGCTGTTTTGGCTGCCTGAGCCAGTCTACCTCTGAAAATAACATATGGTCCTTGGACCTTAAGGAGTAACAGTAGGCTCCTTAAGAGTACGGCCCTCTGTAGCTCAGTTGGTAGAGCATGGCGTTTGCAACGCCAGGGTTGTGGGTTCGATCCCAATGGGGGGCCAGTATGAAAAAAGTATGAAAATGTATGCACTCACTAACTGTAAGTCACTCTGGACAAGAGCGTCTGCTAAATGACTAAAATGTAAATCTTGGGCTAACAGAAATTATCCATTACCTGCTCTTGGATTCTCAGGGTGCTTTTCTGGATGGCATGACAAGGCCCTTGCCTTATCCTGTATTCATTGGCAATGTTCTGTCCAAAAACAAAGATAAATCATGAAAGTTTCATCCATACATTAAGATACATTTGCAATCTGTTTGAATTGGCAATCAAAATATTATAAGCTGTCTCTTGACAAAAGATGCATGAAATTATGTAGCTCAGTTGATAGAGCATGGCGTTTGCAACGCCAGGGGTGTGGGTTCGTTTCCCAAGGGGGGCCAGTAAAAAAATATATATATATAAAACATATATTTGTATTCACTAACTGTAAGTCGCTCTGGATAAGAGCGTCTGCTAAATGACTAAAATGTAAATGTAATGTAAATGTAAATTATATCAAACTACGTCACTGTCACTGTCACTGCACTGTATGAGATATTCCATATCAACAAGTCTTAGCCGGTCACTAGCATTTAGCCTAGCTAGTTATGGCTAGTGGGCAAACAAACTATCTTACCGAAGATAAATAATCATAAGCAAGACGCAACTCGGAGTGCCTGGACACAGCCCTTAGCCGTGGTATATTGGCCATATATCACAAACCCCCGAGGTGCCTTATTGCTATTATAAACTGGTTACCAATGTAATTACAGCAGTAAAAATCAATGTTTTGTCATACCTGTGGTATACGGTCTGATATACCACGGCTGTCAACCAATCAGCATTCAGGGCTCAAACTACCCGGTTTATAATTTAAAATATAATCCATTCTGATCAATATTATACAATCTTTGAAAATAACTGATTTAGCTAGCCTGGCTCCTCTGAAGGTTTCAGTGGTGTTGCGCGTTCCAGGTTTACTTTATTTTAGTCGCGCTGCGCAGCTGGCAGTTTCAAGAACCAGAACGACGATGTGTCACTGAATATTGCAATATTATCCAGCTAACGCTAGTAGCTTTAGTTGATTTAAAATGCAAAATTTGTTCAAATAATATCAATCAATGTTCATAGCTAAACATTAATCATGATAATCTTGTGGTTGACGTCATTGACGTGCTGAAGCGGCGCTCCGGCCGCAACTACTGGTGGCGTGGAGAGCGAATCACATGCGCTATTTAAATACCCAGCTGTCGACCGAGGAATAATTTTTTTCTTCTATTACCATAGCGGCTTTATCAGCTGAAGATGGCGGACGGGGAGAACATCCTTGTTGGAGCCAGTTCCAGCAATACAAGTATGGAAGAACCCGTTTCAAAAAAGGCCAAAATGAGCATGGCCATAGAATGTGGCCTAAAGATTGTTCACACTGAGCAAGTTACATACGGGCCAGAGGCTTATGAGAGTTGGGCGGCGGCGATTTCTGCGCGGCCAAATGAGGAGATTGAGCCGGTGATGGCGGTAGGACAGGCCCCAGCAGCAGCACTAGGCGGAGACAATGGGCTGCTGGTCTTGGAGCCTCAGGAAAGCGTAACAAATTTAGAAAGGGCGTCTGGACCCGCTGCGGAGCCTGCAGGTAGGCTAATTTAGCTAGCTAACTGCTATAGCTAGTATGCAAAATATTATTTTTTTGCAGACTCGAGCGTTGAATGTCTGGTTAGATTACTCCACCTTGGATAGCCAATTCAATTGGGCTAGCTAGCGTTGTAGCTAACTTGCTGCTCGCTAGTTTAGCAGCACGTCAGCCTAAAGGTTGAAACTAGCAAACTTTAGCCAATTTAAAAATAAAAATAAAAAGTAGCCAGCTATCAACATTAGCTTTTTGGCTAGTAATGTTATGCAATTTAGGTTTTTTGGTTGCAAGTTTTTTGCAATATTCCAGGGAATGCAAAAATACAGTAACATTTTCAAGTCCTTTGCAGAGTAGAGAGATACGTACTGGTCAACACATTGCCTGATTTTCAAGTCCTTTGCAGAATAGATAGCTAATTTACGTACTGTTCAACATGTTGCCTGAGTGATCTGTTATGAAGAGACAGCTAGTCCACATTAAAGATGCACAATGCAGAAATCGCTCCGCCATTTCTTGGTTGCTAAAATTCTAAAAGTTAGCTTAATATCAGTTCATGTGACAAAACATACAAGTGTAGTGTAGATAATCATTGTACCATCTAAACCGCTGTGAAATCTCTTTTATAACCAAACATATTGTATTTTCAGCTGTTTGAAGCTAGTGTATAAAACCGAAAGTAAAAGATGCGAAACTTAAGAACGGGAAGCTTAGAAATAGCACACATAGAACATATCTACTGCTTCTTAGGCTTGCTTTCAATGAGAATGACAGATCTATAACACATATTTCTATGTGAATTTGGTCAGGTACATATTGCAGCTTTAAATGAATTGACAAAACTGTATCAATTACAGCAATCATGTCCTTTTTATTGCAGGTCCAGAGTGTCTTGGCACTGATGAGGAGTTTCACCCAAATGGCTTTGCCTCCCCAGACGATGTCAATGAGGATGATGACAGATCCTCACATGCAAGTTCCAGTGACTGGACCCCTCAACCACAGATAGGTACAAGATGTCAAATAAGTCATGTTTTATAAAACCTGGTTAAAACCATACAAAAGACAACATGCAGAGGCACAAATATCAACGACATCACACCTGCCCAGAGACCCACCTGTTTTCACCCCTATCTCCAGTGCCTGCACTACTCTCCTCCACATGTCCTCAAATTGCACCATTTTGTTCCTCTCCGTTCTCAATATTTAGATAAAGGGTATTCTTTTTTTCATTATCTTAACGATGGATTGGTTGATTTCCCATTTTTGAGTATACGTTTTTCGAGGTAATTGACGAGAAGAGTATCGTCCAACCCATCGTGTATCTCACTGCACCCTCATATGACATTTCTTGAAATATGCAGACAAGTAAATTTACATTGTAACACTTCTGACAGCCAACTTTCTATCCCCACCCATAACATTTTGACTTTATAGCATTTCCTGGAGGCATGGATTATTTATTTCATTATTAGTTTTACAATTTAGACATGACTCTGTCATTGTGCTGTACATTCTGTCTCTTGTATAATACATTTTATACATTAGTTTATACCGGATTAAGCGTACATTTTCGTTAACTGTAATTTCGTTAGTTATGTTCCAACATTCCCTCCATCTTGTTCCAATATCAGTTCTTTTCAAGTCTTGGTTCCAATAGTTTATATTTTTTCTAAGAGATTGTCAGTTGGATAGGCTCTCTGCAAGGTTTTGTATATCTTAGCTATCATATGAATATTATTTTCTGACTCAAATAGGATTCCCTCAAGATTGCTCTGATGTCCAAAAGATTAATAATACAAATTGGGATATTAAACTTTTAAGTTGCATGTATTTGAAAATATCTACATTGGTCAGTCCAAAATTGCTTTTTATTTCTGTCATGGAAATACATTGATTTCCTATTACCAAGTCATTTATGGTTTCTGCGCAGTTATGTTTCCATGTTGACCAATTCTGAAAAGCTATCCAAGGATTGTTCCATAGGGTTGTGTTTTTTGGGAGTGATATTGGTTCTTGTAGAATACGTTTCATTTTCTTCCATATTGTTATAGTGTTAACTATGAAGTTGTTAATGTTCTTAGCTTTATCCTTTGAAAATAGACACGTGAAAAGATTCTGAGGTTCAGCATGCGCATCTTCAATAATTACACATTGTTTCTCTTTAGTGCATTTAACACTGTGTCTCAAGTAAAATCCTTGGGTGGCGAGTTGATACAATTCCAATCTGGGAGGTTAAAACCACCATCAGACTTAGGGAGATGTAAAACTTTCCTTTAGATTTTATGAGTTTTATTTGCCTGTATAAAGTCTCTTATGGCTGAGTATACTTTTTTTAAAGAAGTCTTTGGTGGGGTAATTGGTATTATTGAGAATAAATATAAAAACTTTGGGAGCCATGCCATTCTGAAGAGGTTTATTCTACCTGTACGATTTATGGGAAGATTGTACCATTTAATACACCTGCTGTAATACACAAAATTGCATGCAACCCAGGTAATTTTCAAGATACAATAACATGTTTTAAGCTATTTGAATGTGCAGTATTTCTGTATTGATGTTGGTGTTTTTTAAAATTAGGTTCCTACAGTTTTATTCAGCAACACATTATGAGAGAGACAAATCCGAGAACAATACTGAAAGAGTTGCTTCCTGAGACTGTGCTTCCGCCCGACTTGGATGACATGACACTGTGGCAGATCATCATCAACATCTCGGAGCCTCCTAAAAGAAAGAAGCGCAAAGACATAAACACCCTGGAGGATGTGGTTCGGCTACTCCACGAAAGCAAAAAGATCCTTGTGCTAACTGGCGCTGGGGTATGTATTGCAGGGAACAATTACGTTTGGCTGTGTCCACTTTGTATAGCTTTCACAGTTGCCTTATTAGGACTGATGGTTTATTTTTCCTCCTCAGGTGTCTGTTTCTTGTGGAATACCAGACTTTCGATCCAGAGATGGCATTTATGCAAGGCTTGCAATAGATTTCCCAGATCTTCCAGACCCTCAAGCAATGTTTGATATAGAGTACTTCAGAAGAGACCCAAGGCCATTTTTCAAGTTTGCTAAGGTTTGTGGACTGAAAGCATATCTGTATAGTATTTGATTAAGTGATGATGATGAATGTCTATAAATGACCACTTGTTTGATTGCTCTGCTCTCTTGCAGGAGATCTATCCTGGACAGTTCCAACCTTCGCACTGTCACAAATTCATATCTATGCTGGACAAGCAGGGGAAGCTACTACGCAACTACACCCAGAACATTGACACTCTTGAACAAGTGGCTGGGGTTCAGAGGATCATCCAGTGTCATGGTACATACTGTAATATATGTCAACTTTAATACAGTTCAAGTGTTTTAATGTGGTTCCGGGTCTAATGTTGACTCTTATGACCCACACTCTTCTGTATTTCAGGGTCTTTTGCAACAGCTTCCTGTCTCGTCTGTAAACACAAGGTTGACTGTGAGGCCGTAAGGGAAGACATTTTTTATCAGGTATTGGCAAGAATGGTTCCTATTAATATTCACCAGTGTCAAATCTGTGAATTGATGTATACTGCTGGACAGACTTGTGGCTTTTTTCAGTCATTCTCAGCTTATCTTGTACAGTAGCATCCATTGTCTGTTGATTTGTTTCCATATTGAATTCAAATCTCTGTTCAAGGTTGTCCCTCACTGTCCACGGTGTCCAGATATCCCCCTGGCAATCATGAAGCCAGATATTGTCTTCTTCGGAGAGAATCTTCCAGAACTGTTCCACAGAGCAATGAGGCAGGATAAGGATGAAGTGGACCTTCTTATTGTCATTGGGTCCTCACTGAAAGTGCGACCCGTGGCTCTCATCCCAAGTATGTTGAAAATGTTTTTTTAGATGCCCAAGATTAGCAATGCTTTTACCAATGTTATTACCGGTATTACGCTTGATCCCGAGTCATGCATCTATAACAGGTGACCTTTTTTTCCACCCAGCCTCCATTCCTCATGAAGTGCCTCAAGTCTTGATAAATCGGGAGCAGCTGCCTCACCTCAACTTTGACGTGGAGCTACTTGGGGACTGTGACGTCATCGTTAACGAGCTCTGCCATCGGTTGGGTGGAGACTTTGAGCAACTGTGCTACAACTCCTTAAGACTCAATGAGATCACAGAGAAACCCCCGCGGTTACCGACTTCCGCAGAGCAGCCACCTTACAAGGCCTTGTCTACTCACAGTAAGCCAACAGAAAAAGAACAGAAGCACCGTCAAACAGATTCATCGGTCAGTGCCTCAGAGGAGACGAACACTCACATGGTCTCAGACACTCCAGAAGGTGACAGAGTACCAACAGAACCTTGTCCGAAGGCTCAGAATGTCACAGACACATCTGAAGTCGATGGCGTACCACCCGAGCCCTGTCCAAAAGGGCAGATTGTCCCAGACACTCCAGAAGTAGAAGCACAACCAGAGCCCTGTCCAAAGGCTCCAAGTCCCAATGAGGAGAGAATGGAGCGTTCAATCTCTCCATCAGCGGACACGCGGAGTGAAGAAGGCTCTGGATTAAATGACCAATATATCAACCTTGAAGTTCGCAAACGATGCTGGATGAGTCGAATCAGTCGAAGTCCTATCAGCAAGCGCCTTGAGAGTAAGATTTCAAGTGTTTGTTTACCTCAGATTTTGTGCAAAACTTTGTTTTTTTTAATGCAAAACCTTCTGATGGTAATACCTTTTCCATGTCTTTTCATGAAATCATGTACTGTAATTTCCATGTGACGTTATGACAACTTGTTCATGTGAAATTCACCCAAAATGTGATGTCTTTTACCCAGCTTCTCAATACCTTTTCCAAGCACCAAATCACTACATCTTTCACGGGGCAGAAGTGTACTCCAACTCGGAAGATGAGACGTCCAGCTCCTGTGGGAGCGACAGCGAGGACTCCAGCCTGGAGATGGAGGAGGAAGACAGCGACGCAGAGGAGGACCAGAGCACATCAGCAGAGGAGATCGAGGGCTGCCTTATAGACACAGTGACACACAAGCAAGCCTGCGAGGGCACGTCGAGTGTGAAGCAGACAGACCATACAGACGAAAATGTCCAGAACACCACAGACCTTTAAAAAAAACAGAATGACCCTGTCTTGACAAGGCACTTGCTTTCTTTTTATTATCTTGTTTTGTATATTGTTTTGTCCCCACAGCCCCTTTTATACATTTTTCATAAAGTCTAGATTGCGTTGACTACACTCTTTTGCATGTATGTGCTGAATATTCATTATGTCTTTCTTCGTCCGACCACATTACTGAGCTGCGGGGGAATTGAGTACACGTTTTGTGTACTATCATTCGCAGCTCAACCAAGAAAGGAACAGCAAACTTACACCAAAGAACACCCCATACTCTAAATGTTTTTCCAGTTTTTCATAAAATTCTAAAAAGCTTGTTTTTGACTTACCCACCACTGAAGTGTAAAGAATATATTTAACGGTGGCATTGTTTTCCTTCCGATATTTGGCAGCTACTTTTTACGGTCAATGTCAAGCTTTTATTATTTTTGTATTTTGTATGACATACTCAACGAGTAGATGATGGTTTTCTAAATCAAATTGAAAAAGTTATACATTGTGCAAACATAAAGCCTTATAAACATGTTCAATATGCTTTCATTGGAGCAAATAGCAAATTTTTTGTCTTCCATTTTCAGCAGTTTGACACGTTTGTTCATAAACTCAGCAAAAAAAGAAACGTCCTCTCACTGTCAACTGCGTTTATTTTCAGCAAACTTAACGTGTAAATATTTGTATGAACATAACAAGATTCAACAACTGAGACATAAAGTGAATAAGTTCCACAGACGTGACTAAAAGAAATGGAATAATGTGTCCCTGAACAAAGGTGGGGTCAAAAGTAATCTGGTGTGGCCACCAGCTGCATAAAGTACTACAGTGCATCTCCTCATGGACTGCACCAGATTTGCCGGTTCTTGCTGTGAGATGTTACCCCACTCTTCCACCAAGGCACCTGCAAGTTCCCGGACATTTGTGGGGGGAATGGCCCTAGCCCTCACCCTCCGATCCAACAGGTCCCAGGCGTGCTCAATGGGATTGAGACCTGGGCTCTTCGCTGGCCATGGCAGAACATTGACATTCCTGTCTTGCAGGAAATCACGCACAGAACAAGCAGTATGGCTGGTGGCATTGTCATGCTGGAGGGTCATGTCAGGATGAGCCTGCAGGAAGGGTACCACATGAGGGAGGAGGATGTCTACCATGTAACGCACAGCGTTGAGATTGCCTGCAATGACAACAAGCTTAGTCCGATGATGCTGTGACACACCGCCCCAGACCATGACTGACCCTCCACCTCCAAATCGATCCCGCTCCAGAGTACAGGCCTCGGTGTAACGCTCATTCCTTCGATGATAAACGCGAATCCGACCATCACCCCTGGTGAGACAAAACCGTGACTCGTCAGTGAAGAGCACTTTTTGCCAGTCCTGTCTGGTCCAGCGATGGTGAGTTTGTGCCCATAGGTGACGTTGTTGCCGGTGATGTTTAGTGAGGACCTGCCTTACAACAGACCTACAAGCCCTCAGTCCAGCCTCTCTCAGCCTATTGTGGACAGTCTGAGCATTGATGGAGGGATTGTGCGTTCCTGGTGTAACTCGGGCAGTTGTTGTTGCTGTCCTGCATGTGTGATGTTCGGATGTACCGATCCTGTGCAGGTGTTGTTACACGTGGTCTGCCACTGCGAGGATGATCAGCTGTCTAAGGCGTCTGACAGTACGGACATTGCAATTTATTGCCCTGGCCACATCTGCAGTCCTCATGCCTCCTTGCAGCATGCCTAAGGCACGTTCACGCAGATGAGCAAGGACCCTGGGCATCTTTATTTTGGTGTTTTTCAGAGTCAGTAGAAAGACCTCTTTACTCTTTAGTGTCCTAAGGTTTCATAGCTGTGACCTTAATTGCCTACCGTCTGTAAGCTGTTAGTGTCTTAGCGACCGTTCCACAGATGCATGTTCATTAATTGTTTATGGCTAATTGAACAAGCATGGGAAACAGTGTTTAAACCCTTTACAATGAAGATCTGTGAAGTTATTTGATTTTTTACGAATTATCTTTGAAAGACAGGGTCCTGAAAAAGGGACGTTTCTTTTTTTGCTGAGTTTATGTCCTTGGTTACATGAGCTATTTGGAGCATGCGACTAATTGTGGAGGTGCAAATCTATAGAGCTCCTATTCACTCTGTCTGGAGAAATGTCCGGCCCTAACACAGACCCTGCAGTGTTCTGGGATCAGTTTAACATGAGCCGAATTTAGTGTTTTAAGCACCTCATTCGTATGTTTAAATTGTTTTTGTTTTGATATTGATATTGGTTGTAAAAAAAGCAAACATTTTGAACATTCATAGTAGGCATTTTCCTTGTTTTCATGACACCACATAAATAGCCTTATTAATCACAATGTGTAACAACACACTTGTGTAAGAAATGGATAGAGATATGAGAGTTGCATGCTATTTGACATTTGATGGCCACGTTTAATTTGAGAAGACCACATTACAGGTAAGTGCATGCAGTTCATATGCTGCAGCAGTGCCAATGGGGTGTTTTACACAAATGAAGGGACAACATTTACATTAATGAACTGAAGATTATTAAAATGAAATTTAAGAGTTCTTAGAATTAGTATGTCATCCCCTGTAATGTTGGTGTGTCAGCTTTTATGCTCGGGATTGTTTATTTTTTACATTAAAACATAGTTATATCGATTTCTCGTGTGTTCTTTAAAAACATTACATTTTATCTGCTAGATTTATATTAGGCTTTATGACATCATATACCAACAAATAGCCCATAACATAGCAAATCATCTCATTTGAAGTTACCATTTATGTAAATATCATGGCATTATTTACCTATATTAATAATGTATACTGTATTTATAGTATAGCCATAGGCCAATGTTTTTATTCCTGCAAAAGTCACAAAGAGTTGTGTTTTTGTTTGAAATGGTACTATTATTATTGTCAAAATAATGTAATTCCAATCCAGCTTCAGTGATAGAAACGAACCTGTAGTCATTGCATGATTTTAACCCCTGCTGCCCCAGTTCGGGACACACTCTTCACGCCATTTCGCCCGATGGGCGGTGCTATAAATGTGAATGAAAAAAACTATTTTGATAATGGTTTTCATACACATACCTTGTCCATAATGTAGAGGCCTATGGGATATTCATTGAAGAGGTAAGGGAGGAGGACGGTACATGTGATCTGCATAACATACCAATACAAATTGACATACCTTTGTATGCCTCCTCATCTGTAAACCTGCAGACACAGACACAAAAATGAGCAGTTCAGTCATCTGCACCCAATACAGCTAGCCTTCAACATATTCTTATAGCATACATATTCTTACCTCTTTGTTGATTGATATCCATTGAATTGTATCCATTTTCTGTTTTGCACAAATATGAAAAGATAGATGGTATCATCATAAAACAATATCAATTTAGATCATACAAGGGACAAACCTTACCTTAAATTGAGGAGATCTTTACATTTTTCAGTTAAGTGCCTGCACCTGCTGTCCTTTCAAATTCAAATCCAAATGTTTCAGTTGGGCAGTTAGGTTCCTGCAAGAACCCCCACCAACTAAGGAGGTTCCTGGATGAACCCCACCTCCTATGGGGTTCTTGGAAGAACCTTTTGGGTGCAATTGTCATTGCCGAGAACCCTATGGTTCTTCAAAGAGCTTTGAGGATCTTAGAAGAACCCTTGTTGAACCCCTGTATAGCCTATTGCCTGTTTCTGTGTATGAGTCTTTTATTAAAGAATATGAAACAATGTTGTGTCTTTTTGTTGCTTTTCATCAGATCAGGCAGAGTTGTTCTATATATGGCCTAAAATAAACATGTTCATATGGGGAGAATATTATCTATAGGCTGTAGCATAGCGAATTTTGATCAGTTATGAAAAAAAAACAATTAATGCTTAAATTGTTTGATCTTGTAGGCCTAAAAGGCCGACATTTGGACGTTTCAATCAAAAAATACTTTGTAACATGACTATAGAAATGAAAACATTGTGATTTTAGAGACACGGTAACAGTAGCCTATGATTAAAGGGTTAGGCTATACTGGGCTCTCACCATCATCATTATCATTATTCACATCATTCCAATTCAACCCAATCACAATTATCAGCTTGGGTATTGACATCAATGAGCAGGCTTTCCAAGTGAGGAGAGACACATGGGTAGGCCTACCAACAGAAAAAGTATTAAAACAAAAATGATTATGAAATTTGGACCACAGAAATCCAGTGTTTATATCAAATGTCTGCCTTTTCCCCTACATTTAACAGTCTAATAAGTCCATTTAAAATAGAACATCACAAAATCAATTTAGCCTATGTCTTTTCATTTAGTCTCAATATGATACGAAAAATGTTGGCTATTTCAAAACAACAGAATACCATATTTTGAGTTGACTGTATAGGGTATTATACTAAAGATCTATCCGAGGTTCAACTTTAAGGCAATCTTTTAAAACTATTTTGATACTCACGTCATGTCTTGATAATATAAATGAGAATGTAGCCCATTTCATTTTGAAATGAGTATTTGTCCATCTCTCCCATTGTTCCCATTTTCAATAAAAAAATATGCATGCGTTGTTGGCATGAGAGATTCACAAGATTTAAAAAATGCTGCCCTGCCTGGACACTCACATTCAAATAATTTTCACCCTCCCATTGTTCCAATTTTCAATAAAAAAATATGCATGAGAGATTCACAAGACTATAACATTGGAATGTTGTAAAGTGCTGGCGTACCATGCATGGCTGGCGAGGACACTCAGGTGAAGCCATTGAATAAAATGAATTACAAGGAAATAATGTTTTTTAGCTTTTGAACCTGTATAGGCTTACATTTTTAGCCTGTATAGTCTGTTGGACTATCCTTTTCATGACATATGAGACATCAAAACGGTCTAGAAAAGCCTTGCGTGTTATCACAACAGCTGTTCACTTTACTGTCATTCTGAAAATTATTTTCTGAATCAGCTGATGATTGTTGAAGCAGGGTTAAAGTTTAATTTCTACTTTCACAGATAAATGCTTATTATATTGATAGGTAAACATGGCCATTAATACAAGGAACAAAAAGTGTTTCATGTCACATGATTCTGGACAAGTAAAATTGTATTAGAATATATTACAATGTTACTTTCCCAAGACGCCCAAAAGATGGTTCTAGTTTTAGGAGGTCATACTTAAATGTAAAATAATAATATGCACACAAACTAAAGAAGACGATTTTATTAATGTAAGATTATCACCAAGACAGGCAGACAGTCCAGACAGACAAATAGTACATCAAAGCGGTGACCCGATCCTGCAGGTTCATGCTCTACAACATTCACAGAGTACGACCCTACCTTACACAGAAAGCGGCACAGGTCCTAATCCAGGCACTTGTCATCTCCCGTCTGGATTACTGCAACTCGCTGTTGGCTAGGCTCCCTGCCTGTGCCATTAAACCCCTACAACTTATCCAGAACGCCGCAGC